TTTAAAAAAATTACTTTTTTGAATCCTAAAAATGAAACGACTTAAGCAAGATCCAGAACCCGTCGAAACATCATTTTATGATCAATTACACATAGTCACAATGAATTATGAAGATTTTAAAAGAAATGCTGCAGAACGTCTTAGAGTATTACGTAAATTTGAAAATAATATTAAGGATGCTTCGGCAATAGAAGATATGGATATGGATCGCACAACACATTTTTGTTTGCGTTTGCTTGCAGCACAAGCAAAGTGGTCATCAATTTATTTCTCAAATATGGAGCATCAACTTTTTAAATTTAGATTAAATAAAATGAATGAGTCAGAAATCGAGAAATTTTTCGTGGAAAAATTTCTACCTAAAATAGACCATATAAGCTCTACGGTAAAGCCTACATCGTTGAATACCAATTTTAATAATTTCCAGTCCAACTCTAGTCAACTTGATAAAATCGAAAGATATGCAACATACAACAGCTCAACAACCTTTATTGAGAGATCATCATGGTGTAATCTAGCTCAAATTCATTTCACTAAATGTAGTGAGGTTATACCAAAAAGACAATATTCGATGATAAATGGATATTTACCATTAAATTTAGATACTAAAAAGGCATTTATAGCTTCAGAATTCCGTAAAAATTTAGAAAATAAGATGGACTTGCTCTATGAAACTGTCGTACGTAATTTTGATGAGAGATTGATCAAGTTGAATTCCGATGTATTCACAAATTACACTATTGTAAAGGAGGGTACGAACAGTATTTCTCAAATTATTGAAAGTAATTCTACTCCACTTTGTATGAAAGCAATTCTTCACAAGCTAAATACTGAGAAGCATTTGAAATTCAACGATAGAAATGCCCTTTGCTTATTTTTTAAGGATTTGAACGTTTCTGTATTGGATACTGTAAACTTTTTTAGATCTAAACTGATCCAAATGAAGGAAAAGGAATTGATTTATAGCATTCGACATAACTATGGTCTTGAAGGGAAAAGGGCCAAGTACCAATGCTTTTCTTGTCATAAATTGATTGGGCTATCCAATGATCCACAAGCAACTGGTTGCCCATTTGTAAAAAATAAGGACTTTGTTACTCAATTTATTGATATTGAAGAGTTAGACTGTTCTAAAAACTGTAGAAGATATCTGAAAACGTTGATTTCTACGGAAAATGAGGAGGAACTTAGTTTTGGAAATCCAGCTGATTTTTACAGAATTGTAGAAAAGGAGAAGCAGCAAAGCGATCATTAAACATTACTTTCATGTTTGATATTCCCCAATGGCTTTATTAAAAAATGCATACTGAAAGAACTATGTGCAAGTTTCCACAGATTAATGTCTTAACACCTGTGTAAAGCCTATATAATTATTTAACTGAAGTTTATCTATTTCCTTCTGAGTTTTCCTGTTACTGATTATCTTTGGAATCTACACCATTCCTTTTAATTTCATCAGAATATTTTTATTTGTTATGCATGCGTGGGCTTCATTTTCCAAGTTCTTAATATACTGTCCTTAATAAAGAAATTGATATTTATTAAATTAACATTACCAAATCTTGAGCAATCATTTGCGTACATTCTTCATTCAAACCAAGTATCCCACATATTTCAAATAACTTTCTAGCCTTATCCTTTTCAAAGCTGTATTTAAGAATATTCACCACCTTGGGAAATAAATGCTCGATTATCAATTTAAAATTTGTAAGATCACAATCTATATCAAATAGACAAGTGCGATTCAAAGTTTTAACACAAGGATCAAAATTGAAATAATAAAATCCCTTCAAATCCTTCAAACTACTATTTACAATAGAAATATGAGTAAAAACCTCCTCTTTAATGGGAGAGTCAGTCAGAATTGACTGCTCTATTACTTCTTCAATCACACTGGACAATATTTGCTCATCAACTAATTCACTAATTTGAAGTAACCCTTTCTTATTCGTCTTTTGTAATAGACTGATCACACCAGTAATTATCTTTTGGTCAAGTGGATTGTCCTTGCATTTGATTAGATCAAATAAACTATATTTAATCAAATATACTGGAATAAATTTATGATAATCTGGGATGTCTTTTAGAAGAGACAACAGCTTGATTTTATTTTCAGGAGATGATAGATTTGAAGCTATGTTGAATACAAATTTAAGAAATACAGTCCTATAATTCAATTGAGTAGGAACATTGTATTGTAAGGTATCGTCATTAGCTTCAGACACTAAACTTACTGTTGAATCCTCCACTTCCATATTATTATCGTTGAAACAAAGTTCTCTAAGAAGATAAAATTTAGAAATTAACGAAAAATCAGATTTTAGTAAGAGTGATATTGCCATCTTCTTTTCATTTTTGAACAGACTAACCATTAACTTTACGTTTTTTCTTTCGAAATCTTCTGCCTTTAGCCTATCACAATTTCCATTGTTCAATTTAAGGATAGTGAAAATATAATCTTCTACAGTTTGAATCACAAATCCATCCGAGATCATGGTTTGATTCATGAGATTTATCAGAAATGTTTTAAATTTATCTTCATTTGTTTTTAATTGAATATTGAAAAATTCATTCCTATCAATAAAGGCTCTAAATCGACTTTTGAAACCTCCATTCATAAGTTCGAAATAATTTTCAAACTCTTCTAATAACTCTTCAATTTCTGTGTAATATCCAATTCTATAGAAAATATATACCTCAGCCCATAAGCACCGGCCTTCAAATACGGATATATTGAATTCATTTTTATTAAATTTTAGTTGACAAAATTCTGTAATTTTTTGCTTTATATTCATTTTATCCGATTTTTTTAAAAAGCTTTCAATAAAAATGAGGTATGATTTCTGTAGGTATTCCAGAGGGATCATATGTTCTTGAAGATAAGAATACATATCAAATAGAAGTTGATCGCCAAAAGAAACAGAAGATGGTGGTAAAAAAAGAGATAATTCTGTATTTGGACAGATACTAGAAGCTCTCATGGTCAATTCATTTTCTTTCTTGATATTCTTAATTCTCTCAGAGACCATTTTGTCGTGAGATTTCAAAATAGAATTTTTCAAATCATGGAATTTGTTTTTTAAAGAATTTTGTAAAAATCCATCGAAGATTGTTTCCGTTGAGAAGATCTCTCTTTTTGCAGAGAGGAAAACAGGAAAATGTGATGGAGAAACAGAATATTTCTTGTATTTCATCTGCTTCATCTTCAGAAGAGTAATCAAATGTGTATAATTATTAATTGTAAAAGGTTTGGAAATTATTGGAGAAATATTGGCAATACTCTTGAAGGATGGCTCAGTAGTTGATATCGATGTAACATTATTTGCTTCTGAAGTTGAAGTATTCGTAGATGAAGTAGGCATAATAGTGCTAGAAAACAGTCTGCTATATGATGAATTATTCGTGGATAATTTTTCATTCATTTAAGGGGTAAAAAACTTGAATTATTTAAGATAAATTAATTAAAAGTAGTTTGGTAGATATTTAAGGCTCCAGAAGACATTAATATGAACCATTCATCGAATATACATTGTTGCCTTGCTTTTGAATAAAGGAGAACTAATTTTCATGAATCGATATGATATAGCTTGTTACGAAGGTTGCTTTATTAATGATATATCTTAAAGACTTTCTCCCCAAGAAAATAACATATATAGGTAAATAAATACTAAAAATTTTGGAATGATACTGATTCATGACTTAAGCATATTAATCAGGTTAAAAATACATTGATCAATTGGAAATTACAAACCAATGAAGAATTGTTGTAGTAATTAAGTGTAAAATAAATTATTCATTAGTTTGCAATACTTTTCAAAAAAATATTCCTATCACTTATTATACACACACTAAATCTCATTTGGATGTAATAATATCAATAATTTAAAATTGAGAATAGTACTAGTTTTATTAGACATTTCATCACTCTACCCATTTTTCTACATTTTTCATTAATTTTATATTACAAACTTGAGTATTAGTAAGTCCAATTAGTTTTAAGTTTATCATTTTTTCAATATTCTTCAGATTTTTGAGTCTTTTATTATTATTCAAAAGGAGCGTATGAATGGATTTAGGCAGCTTATCACAATCAATTTCTTTAATATAATTAAACTGAAGATCAAGTATTTTCAGGCCACTAAGTGAGGTTAAATCAGGCACCTCTTCAATTTTATTTGCGCCTAGATAAAGTTCTTCCAGAGAACTTGTTAAAATTTGAGATACTTCAATATCTCTAATTCTATTATTAGCAATATCAAATTTTTTGAGAAATTTACATCTATTCGATACATTAGACATAAACTCAATATCATTAGCCATTAGATAAATTTCCTCTATATTTTCCAATGTTATCTCATAATCCTTTAATAAATTATATCCAAAATCAATCACTCTCAGCTCTTTATAAAAATTTACATCATCCATTTTGGAAATTAAATTATCCGATATGTCTAAATATTCAATCCTTGTAGGAAGGCGTGGGATCTTTTCTAGTTTATTTCTTCTAATTTCTACTGCAATTGCAGACTCTGGAATTTCGATGCTGTCATTTGATGAATTTACATGAATATAGCGTTTATTATCATCACATTCATTAATAAGCATATTTCAGGGTTAAAAATAAACTGTTTTTCATAAATCATTGAGAAGATAAATAAAAAATTCAAGATATTTGTAGATTTCTAATAAAATCATTTTATACAATTTCACAGTATAAAAAATGAACTTATCTATCTTATTATGTATTTTGAACTCAATATAAGTAAAGTCCGGATTTTATTCTGTAGAAAATATTTATCAATCAATCCATTTGTAAAAAGAAGAAATATCTTAAAACTCGATATCTTTAATAAGTAGTAAACTATCAACTTCCAATATCAAAAACTATTATCTTAATAAGGCTTTATAAGTGGTAATATAGCTGATCTCCTACCTTAGTAAAATGAATAAATAGATGCTTTTTTAATTAGTTAGAACTGGGAAAGACTGATATCGCATTTTTAGCTATTAAAGAGGATATTGACAAACAATCCTTAATAGGAAATAATTTTATTTATAACTATCATGCTCCAGTTTTAATTGATTTAGCTAATGTCTAGTTCTCTCACGTGGGGCACATCTAGCAACTCCATCAACCTTAAGAATCGTCTGAGCTGTTTCACAGGCCGCAGTGATTACCCTTCTCTTCATTTCAAATCCTTCTAATACTCCGATTTCCTTCATACAGATGGAAAGACCATTTTTAATATCAATACCATGGGTAAAGTTTTTTAAATTCTTCATACTGTTGTATTTCGATTTAAGGAGATTTTTACTATTATCTCCATCAAATCCACAGTTATCACAGATTATTTTAGGGATATCCATCAGTGCGTTACTAAAGGCTACTATCACATCGGATTCTTTGGTCTTGATTTCCAGGGAGTACTTCATCAGTTCCTGGGCTAAGGCAACTTCTGTATTTCCACCACCATACAATAAATATGGTGTGTTTTTACATTCATAAATTCTCTTTAGTACGCATAAAGCATCATGGATGGATCTCTCTGCCTCATCTAAGACAGTTTTTGAAGATCCGTGCAATATTATTGTACTTACAGTATTTTGAGCACATGTAAATTTAGTCAATACTTTATCTTTAATCTTTACACTTTCAACCTTTTCACAAGTTGTTAGTACAACATCTTTGAAATGACTATTTGATGTAGATGCCAAATTACCAGAGGATGGAATCGGAAGTGAATTTAGAGGAGACTTAAAAACAACATCTTCTTCTTCCTTACTCAATTTACTTTGGCTACCAATAAAATGACCAATTATTGTGCCCCCTAAGACAACTTGCAATCTTTCAATATTATCAAAATCTGCATTTTCAATAAAACTTATCCCTTTTTTGGTTAGTAGTTGCTGAGGATAATCATAGATTATTTGTCGATTTATGAATAAATCAATTGGATACTTACAGATCAAATCAATCTTGTTTTTCATTTTATCTTTCTCTGCTTTCTCAATTTGTGATAATTCTCTAATGGAATTGACACTTATTTTTGATGAAAATATTTTAACTTTATCGGAATCCAAAGATGTGTTTGCCAATAAAATCTTAGGATTCTTTAAGCAATAAGAATTCAGAGACAAATTTGATAATTCATATGATATATCATCACCAGTATTACGAGGACAAAATAATTCCTTATCTATAACTAATCCATCCATCAGCATACTTTCTGCCAAATCACCCTCCAGTTTAATAATATTAATCAAATTTATATCTATCTCTCCTCGTCTTCTTAAGCCATTTATTGCATTTATACAGATGTTTGAAAATGTTTCTAAATTAGTTGCAAGAATTTTCGAATTTAAGGTGGTTTTAACTAAATTTAAAATATCAGTTTCTGTGGCAACAAACTTCTTCTTTTCTAATATTTCTTCTATTTTTCTCAATGATAGGGATAATCCCTTTATAATTTTGCTAGGATGAATATTTAAATCATAGCAATGCTTTAAAATCAAGCTGGTCAGTACAGCAATAGAAGTAGTGCCATCCCCTTCCTCATAATCCTGACTGATTGAAGAGTCAACCAAAATTCTTGCCGAAGGTGAATCTATCAACAAATTTTTCAAAATGAAAGCCCCATCATTTGTAACATTAATGGATGAGTCAGACTGTAGTATTTTTAATGATCCTTTTGGACCAAGTGTGGATTTGATAATTTCACCAATAAATGAAACACCAGATTTTATAGACAAAATAGCCTCATCCTTCCTTTCTTCTTCATTGCCTAGATTCATGTGAGTATACATATCAAGCATTTTTCCTTGCATTTGAAAGGGTTCAAAAAAATGAAATATACATAAAAATTCTATTTTCTTCAATAATTACATGAATTTTTTATTTTTGTAGATAATTCTTAAGAAATCACATGCAGTACTAAATATAAAACAGGCTATGAGCATACATAGTTTAAATACTTATTAATCTATTTTTACCCTACTTCAGGTTTTATAGTGTAGTGGCATCACTCTGGACTTTGAATCCAGCGACCTGAGTTCGAATCTCGGTAGAACCATTGTTTCTGTTAGATAAATTTTTCAAGAAGTTCTAGCATTGATTTTTTCATATTCAACGTGAAAAGAAAGTATTCTTGTTAACCTGAAGCATTTGATCATAAAAATTTTTAGACGCCAATATATAAAATCTAAAGGAATATAATAAATATCTTATTTCACAGTTGTTTAAAACTTTTAATTTATATATCTTCTTTTTGATTTATTATAAATGCTCTTCTCTCCCTCAAAGAAGTTACCAACTGGAAATCCCATTTTACCAAAAAAGTAATTAACATCTTCATATATTGATTCCTTGTACTTATCATTAGAGTTGTGAATATCGTGCCATCTATTTCCTCCACTATACAGACTATTACTTCCCTTAAACTCATTATCATCCGGCATTTCTGTATTTGTAAACTCCACATTAGTTATTGTAAAATCGGATTCTTTTACATTGAAATTATCCAACTCTTCTTCAGAAGAATCATAATTCATTGAAAGGGGTACCAAGAAAGATAATAGTATAGGTATGGGATAATGACAGAGAAGACATATAAATAATACAACAAAAAAGAAATATTTCATGTAAGCATTTTATTTAAATGAGTGTCCCATATACCTCACACCAATTCTTCTAAGTGCATAAACCACATCCTGGCAATTAATTGTCTTCCTCTTTGCATGTGAACAGTAGGCTTTGCAAGATTCTAAAACATTTGTCAAATAACTGGTTGTAATCGCATTGACTTCTGGGAAGCAACCCTTACCCACTCTAGTTACTCCAGCCCTTCTGGCTAGCCTTCTTATAGCTGGCCCTCCTACTTTATTACTCGTTACTGTCTGTTTTCTATGACGCTTGGCTGCCCCCTTGGCTGTCTTGGCTCCTTTTCCCTTACTTGTTGGCATTGACATGGGGTAATAAAGCAAAGAGCTTTTATAATTTAAAAAGGCGGGAAAAGTTTCAAAAGGAGGATTTGCTTAATTTTAAGAGGTAAAGGTGAAGTTTTGGAGGGAAACTTGGAAATATTATGAAGAAATTGGGAATTCGTATAAAAGTAGACAATCATAACGAAAAATAAAAGTAGAATCATGTTACAAAGAATAAAATGACAAGATTAAGACAGATTTGTAACTGTAAAGCTGCTAGAAGATTACTTAAAGGAGATATGACAAAAAAAATAAAATAAAAAATGAATAGTTTTAAAGAAATACTAAAGCGATTTTATAGTTCTCAAAATTTAAAGTCTTCAAGATTAATGAATAACATTTAAAAATTTCAATATTAATTATCTTTCACTTTATTTTCCCTCCAAAAACTCCCTCCAAATACCATTTATATTCAGAATATGTTTTTTCCCCAATGGCAAGAACGAAATTAGATTCTTCACTAAATGCACATGGTAAGCATATCGCAAAGACATCTGGCAAAAGACTTGTAAAAAGTACTGTACTTCTCTCTGCTGAAAAGAAGAAATTCAAGCCTGGAACTGTAGCCCTGAGAGAAATCAGAAAGTATCAGAAATCAACCAGCCTGTTAATTAAATGTCGTCCATTCCACAGATTAATCAGATCCACTGTTCAAATCGTTTCACCAGATAATACACTAAAGTTTCAAAAAGCGTCGCTTTCTGTTTTACAGGAAGCTACGGAGAACTTTCTGGTAGGAATGTTAGAGGACTCATATCGTTGTGCAATCCATGCTAAAAGAGTAACACTTTTACCTCGAGATATTTTATTGATTTACAAAATCAAACACGCTGGGATGATGACAACTCCAATGTTTTAATCGAAATAAATATGAATATTCTAACTATTTTTTTAGCATCGCGTTAATGTAAGACTTATTATAATGGGTCGTTATAATTTAATGGAAATAAAGTTTATCAGTAGATAAACGTTCTATAGGGATTAATCGAAACAACTGTGATTAATTAGAACAGTTTGAACATCCTGAATAGTTTGCTATTTTATTTATTATTTTTCTGTAACTATCTAGGAATATTATAAGTATACCCGCTATCAATGGGGACAGTAAAGCCAAGGCATCCGGACGTCTAATCACTAGAATGTTTTCAAAAAATGAGGTATAAACAATCCCAATAGTAATTACCATGCCAAGAACGCTACTAATTAACAACCTAGGGTTATTAAAAAAGTTTATATAAAATAAGTCATATTGTCTTCTACAAACAAGCATATTACAAAACTGACAAATCATCAACCCTATAAAATATGTAGATTGAGCAGAGTAAAGAATATGGAGTTGATCCTCTGCAAAAAGTGAAAATGATGAGTCGTTCTTATTCTTTCCCTTAAATGCGTGTGAAAAAGAATCCAATTCTTTGATTTTCATTGGTTTTGCGTGTGGAGTAAAATATTCATCTGCAAAGAAAAAATATTTGAATGGAATTCCAGATCTTGATAGAGAAATAAAGAATGATACAAGACAGCCAATTGTAGTAATCATTCCAGCGTCAAAGAGTGCCCATCTAAGACTATCTTTAGAATAGAGACTGTTTTCTGCTGTTATTCTTTTTAATTGATATAAAAGATTTCTCATTGAATCTTTTATATAGTTCCAAGCCAATGTATGCGGTGTATTTTGAAAGGTTTCTTCTTCAAGATCGCTTCTGAAATTTTCCAAATTTATCAACAAGGGAATATTCTCAACAAGAGATGGGACAAAGGTGATATTCTGATCTGGATTGAATGCCATAGTTGAAGAGTTTACAGGATCATGACTTTTGTAAGATATATTTGATTGCCAGGCTGAAATATCGGATGTATCTATGCTAGAACTGTTACTCTCATGGACATTACGATTAGATAAATATTCCACATCAATGCCTGTTGAAGATTTATCTTCTTGTAAATTTTCCTCAAAATCAACTAAATTAATTTCTGGCTCTTCATACGAAAAAAATATTACTGGCAAAATTTCTAGAAGTAGATCGAGAAACAATAAAAGAATGGCTGATATTGGTAAAGGTACTCCAAGGAAAATATGAAAGAAAATCGGAACTACTTGTGGAGAAATGTGAGTTAAAATATATCTTACTGATTTTTTTAGATTTACAAAATACAATCTACCCTCCTCAATTACATAAATAATATCATAGAAATTAGTCAGGACAATATCAGCCATATCTTTGATTGTATCAGGTGCACTAGAAAGACAAACGACAACAGAATTTTCCACTTTATTATTTTTAATATCATCGACCGTTTGAACAAAATTAATTGATGAAATTCCATGTAACTCATCACTGTGGACAGATTCTATGCTTTCGTTTATTTTACACAAAAAATATTCTTTCTGTGAAAGAAATTTCATTCTATCACAAATTGTTAATTGATCAAACATATCAGAATTAATCATATTTTTAATAGAATCAAACTTACTCCTTGAAAGTGATTCATTTGTTGACAAAATTGTTGAATTGGATGGATTCAGACTTGGATTATTTAATT